GCACCTGCCCTTTCGTCCCGTGCCCCGAATCCCACGTCTGCACCCAAAATCCTGCTTCTGCATCCCCTCTCCCACATCCTGTGCCTGGAAACCTGCACCTGCAGCCTAAATCCCCTGTCCCGTATCCCTAAATCCCACTTCTGCATCCTCTCTCCCGTGTCCTGCATCCTCCATCTGGCAACCTGGGTCTGCAACCGAAATCCGGGATCTGCTTCCTAAATCCTGGGTTTTTTTTCCCCGAAGTCCTGTGTTTGTGCCCTGAATCCTGCATCCTAAATGCATCTGCATCCTAAATCCTCCGTCCCGCAGCCTGCACCTACACCCTGTGTTGTAAATCCCACATCCGCATCCCAAATCCTGCATCCGCATCCTAAATCCCCGTCCCACATCCTACGCCTACACCCTATGTCCCAAATCCTGCACCCGCATCCTAAATCCTCTGTCCCGCATACTGTGCCTACACCCTATGTCCCACATCTGCATCCTAAACCCTGCATCCCTATCCCAAATCCGGCATCCGCATCCCAAACCCTGATTCCGCATCCCAAATCCCGCATCCGCATCCTAAACTCCGCATCCCAAACCCTGCATCCACATCCCAAACCCTGCATCCACATCCCAAATCCAGCATCTGCATCCTAAACTCTGCATCCACATCCCAAACCCTGCGTCCGCATCCCAAACCCTGCGTCCGCATCCCAAACCTTCCATCCCCACATCCCAAATCTGGCATCCGCATCCTAAACTCCACATCCTAAACCCTGCATCCACATCCCAAACCCTGCATCCTAAATCCTGCATCCGCATCCCAAATACGGCATCCACATCCTAAGCCTCGTATCCCAAACCCCGCATCCGCATCCCAAATCCTGCATCCGCATCCCAAATCCTCCGTCCCACATAACTGTGCCTACACCCTACGTCCCACATCCACATCCCAAACCCCACATCCTCATCCTACATCCCATATCCTAAGCCCGGCATCCGCATCCCAGACCCCGCATCCGCATCCCAAATCCCGTGTCCGCATCCCAGACCCCACATCCGCATCCCAAATCCCATGTCCGCATCCCAGACCCTGTGTCCGCATCCCAAACGCCGCGTCCACATCCCAAACCCCCCATCCCGCATCCCCCAGCGCTGCGTCCCGCACTCCGCAGCCCAAACCCCGCGCCCAGGATGCTGTGGCAGTGGG